TAACATTATTGGAATAGATTATCATGTGGCAATAGGAAACCATCGATGTCCCGTAAAAGCGGGGTATCTCAGCAGAGCGACCACCACTGAAGAATTTTTAACGAAGTTAACAGACAAATTATCCAATAAAGGCCAAGTCTATTGAAACTCGATTCCTAACTTAAAGATGGCAGCACTAGCACTTTATATCGCGAGAGAGATACTGAAACAAATTTCCATAATGATTTTTTTTGTTTTTTTTATTTTACTATTAAAAATATTATAAGACTAAAAGTACGATGAGCACTAACAACCAAAGCTACGCTAGGCTACAGGCTCTTCTTTTCTTGTTTTTTTTTTAATTTGTTTCCTTTATTTTCTACTTAGTATTTATTTGTGAACAATAAATATTACCTTTAAAGGGAGAAATTATATTTAAAAAGTTTTAACACAAAGCAAAGAAAAACGTATATTCCAAATATAGATTAATTGCGAAGGACTTTCTTCTTTATGGATGGCCCGATCGCACCTGCTGAACTTTTTGACTGGGCGTTACAGAAATTATTTGTATTAAGCTTTAATTCAGTATTATTAATCGCTTTGTCTGTTCGCTAGATATTGATTTTTGTAAGACTAAAACTTCCATACAGTGGGCAAAACAGATCAGACAGTATTAGGCAGTACAGGAAAACAAAAACGACCAGTTTTTGAAGACTTAACAAGTGAAAACAATTTGAATGTCTCGTTAATACATTTTCGTGGCGTTGGTGTAACCGGATGACCAAGGTGCCTGCTAGAAATTTCTAACGTATCCCCATATAAGCAAAAAGGAATTGAAAAAGGGCTTCTCCAGAATCCCCCTAATGGCTGACTAAAACTCACAAGTTGGCACTGTTTATGTTATGTAGTGTTCGTGGCTCGGACCCGAAAATGGTTTCCTGTCTTTTTTCAATATTTTGCATTTATATTACTTTTATTTCAAAACCAAGTAATGCGATTATTTTTATGTACAACAGTCAGTTTTAATAGTAAGGTTCAAAAAATACTGCCGGTCGACATTTAACTCCGATTATGTATAATATTCACTTACTCTGAAGCTTCAAATTGGAAAAAAAGGACTTATTATTTTATTAATACAATATCCGCAACAAATAAAAGTAAATTTTACTTCTCTTCACACCATTCGTTTTCTTTACGTACTTGCTCCTCTTCGGCAGCTGTAAAATCGTTTTTAATATTAAAAGTTTTACGTATCTCTTCTGGTGTCTTGCCCTTAATCATATTGGCTACTGTTTTGCAAGTAACATCTAACAAACCCTTTATATCGAGATAGTTCGCAGCCAATATCAATTCGAATAAAGTACCTTGGTCTACTTTAAGAAAATCAGCATCCCACGATGAAATGTCATCAGTTCGTTTTTCTTTATTCTCATCATCTTCTGTAGGCTGTGGATCATCTTTATGAAAATTGGCCCAATGTAATACTTTACGCAATATTGCCGAATTTACATTAGGCAAAGGCACAACAGCATTATCTCCGTCTTCCATACCACAATCTTCCAGCATGGTCTTAATGGTGCCCGAACATTTTGCAATTTGTACATCAGTATCGAAGATTTCATCGTCCGACGATTGCAATTTTATATTAGGCATTGTCTGAAAATATTGAAAAACATGCGTTAAAAGCGTTATTATCGATTCCTTTATTTGCTTTTGCAATTTTGCATTGCTTTTTCAAGCACACATATCACGGCAAATTCAACATCCAGATCAGTTTTAGCAAAAAAAAAAACATGTTAAAAAAAATGTAAAATTGCAATGTCAATTTTGCTTATACACATAAAAGTAAATTTGCTTACTTGCTAGCAATTAGTTAAATTATATTCTTCTCGAAGGTGCAAGGCTTTAAAAAAACAACTTCTCCGTGGGAATTTAATTAATATGTTACAATGAAATTTTGATTAGCCCTTCGATACGTAAAAGTTTTCTAATATATTTGACATAGAGATGACAAAGTCTTCAAAATTATATATAATTATATATCCACACGTCAATCGATCACAATAAAAAAAAAGAAAAGAAAGCAATGCAACTTGATTGAATTTGCTGTCATTGTCGATTGTAATAGAAATGCCAACTCGAAGAAAAATCCAAGCAGTAAAAATATATTTATTTAAATTAACTTAAACTTTAGAGGAGACGTATAATTCTCTTCTTCTTTTTCTGGATAAATAAACATATAAATGACTCTGGTTTTTTTTCATTAATGTAAATATTGTTGAATCTAATCTGTTAAATGAAATTGAAGCTGGCACTGAAAACTCATATTTTCCGTTTCCTCCTTTTTTTATAATTCTATTTAAAATACACCATGATTTTCCAGTTAATCGACTATGCTATACGATATTTATTATAGACTTCTTTTTGTTATAAATATATTGAGTAGCTTTGTAATTAAATCATATAATGTTTTAAATAACGGTTTTAAACGAGTTTGTATATCTTCGAATCGATAGAGTGTAGTAAAACCACTTAAATATGAAGGTTCTTTTAAATTGTTATTTATTTTAAAGTCTTTCTTTATTGTTTACTTATTAATTCTTGTTAATTTTACATTAACTTCTTACTTTACTTTTGGACTTATTTCTGACCTAACTGAGGTATGGTCAGTATCTTATATAATAAATTATTTAATGCTAACTTAAGCAATTAATACAATTAAACTAGGCTATTACTAGAATTACGAGTAATATGTGTTACAACTAAATTAGGTTATCTTAACTAGGTTATCGAGGGTATCACATTATGTTGGAATGAAATAAAATGTAAACTTAGCATAAGTTGTAAAAGTGGTAAAGTGCGATAGATCGATAATGCTGGAAGAGAGAAAGAGAGAGAGAGAGAGCGTGAGAGAGAGAGAAACAGAAAAAGCAGAAGTTTAATAAGTCTTTCTTTGAATTTATAAATGAAAAACTCTAAATGCATTTTGCTTTATATTTCGAAAATCCTTCATCAATGAATTCGAAAAAGTTAATTTATTGGACATTTTTTCCGACCTCTTGTTAGTGAACATATTCTCGATTTTCAAACATTTTTTAACTGATGACCCCAACTTAACTGTTCAAATGTTAATTATTCATATCAAATCACAAACTCGATTTCGATTCCTAATTTGATCATTTTGGAAAACGACGTTTGACATGGTTTGAGGTCATGTATGAGGTTGAGGTTATGTATACTCAAATTATGCTTTGGAAAACTATGTGATGTTATTTCAAAGATTTTCAATCAGTCTTTGAAACCAAGTGTTTTTCATTTGTGTTGGGAGAATAGGTTCCTTCTTACTCTTTGTAAATGGGAATATCACGTTGAGAACTATAGAGTCATCGCCAAGTTGAACGTCTTACCCAAATTGTTTGAACGAATTGCTGCTCAGTATATAGCTTTTGCTATCAAATCTTATATTTCTCCATTCCAGCATGCCTTCCGGAAAGAAAAATCTACTGTCAGGAATCTCTCAGAGTTTACTAGCCATGTTTTCAAGGATTTTTCTAGTAACTGTCGCACGGATCTCGCATATACTGATTTTAGGAAAGCGTTTGATTTAGTTAACTATAACTTATTGATCTTTAAGCTCCAGGCGTCTCGCTTATCTTCGTGTTTAGTGAAATGGATAGGCTCTCACCTGGTTAACAATTCATTTAGGGTCATCACCTCGGATGAATTTCCTGTGACGTTTAGTGTCCATTAAGGTGTCCCTTAGGTCCCTTTTTATTTAAATTATATATATATTGATCTCCCCTCTATGATTAAATCTAGCCAGATCTTATTGTACGTTGACGATGGTAAACTGTTTTCTTCCAGCTGCAAGCTGACTTAAATAACTTGTTTACATAGTGCTCGTTAAATTTTATGAAATTAAGTCTAAAAAAATGCAAGTTTTCTTTCTGCAAAAGGAAGACATTCAGTACTGAGTATTTCATTGATTCACACAAGTTGAAAAACGTTGGTTCCTCTTTAAGTAAAGCTAGGTCCACGTTTGGTTTCATTGAGAGCTAAAGGATCTTTACATTACAAAACATCTATGCATGTGCTTAGTTAGATCAATACTTGAGTACGCCCCGGTTGCCTGGACTTCCTCCTACAGATGCTACGTAGATTAAATAAAATCCGCACAAAGGCAATTCTTGTTGTTCGTCCTTAGGAATTCATGTTGGGATCCGCTCTTGTCTCTCTGCTTTCGTATGAAACTGGATGAACGTAGACTTACCTTTGACTTTGCAGCGTTCGCGTACAATCAGGACACATCTAGAATAGCACGTGATCTTCGTCATTGAGAATAACCTGTGAAACAGAAACACTACCCTATAAACCCGGCGATACAACAGCTAGTTTATAAGGAGCCGGAACGCATGGTAGCCCCGGAGGTGATAGAGGAGAGTAACAGCAGCTCGAGCTCCCTAATGACATGGGTACGCAAGGATACAAAGAATCGCCTGTGTTTAGATGCAAGGAAGCTGAACCAACGCACCGTCAAGGATGCATACCCACTGCCACATATTGAAAGTTTACTTAGCCGCTTGCAGGACACTTATTATATCTCCGCAATCGCCCTAAGAGACGCCTTTGGTAGATCCCACCAGAAAATAAGTCACGAGAAAAGACAGTATTCACTGTACCAGGGAGACCGCTATACCAATTCGCGATGATGCCATTCGGCTTATCTAATGCAGCACACCGCATGTTCAGGCCGATGGACAAGGCCATACCGGGGTGCCTTCGTGAAAATATCTTCAGTTACCTTGACGATTTATTAGTCTGCTCATTGGACTTCAGTCATCACCTAGCTTGTCTAGCTATGGTGGCCGAATGCCTGAAGAGTGCCAATCTAACCATTAACGTCAGTAAGAGTCGTTTTTGATATAAAGAGGTGAAATATCTCGGGTTTATAATAGGAAACGGACGTTTCAAAACGGACACTGTTAAGGTAGAGGTCGTGACCAATTTTGTTGCACCCAAAACTTCTAAGCAACTCCGAAGGTTCTTCGGCACGATCAGTTGATATCGTCGTTTCATCCCCAATTATGGAATCATCGCGGCACCTCTTCATGATTGTCTCACTAAAAGTCGAGTGAAAAACTTTTCGTTGTCAAGCAAAGCTCTAGAGCCGTTCGACCAGTTAAAAAAATGCCTCATCCCATCAGCGTGTCAGTCCTAGTTACATCTGATTTCAAGAAGCACTTCTATATTTAATGTGATGCTTCGTGAGAGCGGATAGGAGGATTGCTATTCCAGAAAGATAATGACCAAAATGAAAGCCCGATCGCATATTTGTTAGCAAAAGTTAACAAAGCGCAGAAAAACTACATAGTGGCGGAATCGGAGGTTTTGCCAGCCAAATTGAGCGTTGAGAAGTTTTGGCCATATATTGAAGGCCTTTACAGTTATTACAGATCGTGCCAGTCTAAAATGGCTTATGTTTTATAAAGAACTGTCTGGAAGACTAGCTAGGTGGAGTCTCAAGCTACAGGCGTTTGTCGTTTCGATTGAACATCGCAAACGAAGTTAGAATATTGTCATTGTCACGATCTCACGCATGGATTTAAGCGAGGTACTAAAAAGTATCGGCCACCTACTCGATGTCAATTTAAAACCTCCGCATTTTACCTCCGAAGAGTACAACCAGTTAAAACGTTCTGGCGAAGAGAATGAGGACAACTTCCCAGACATCTGCGTGCCTGACGAGTTAGTCTACAAAAAGACGGAGTTCAGTACTGGAAACGAAGTGTGGGATGACAACACTTGGAAACTGTAGGTGATAAGGGAACTTTGACCTTGCTTAATGACAGCAGCTCATTCGTCACCGTGCACCGAGAGATTCACAAGACCCTGCAGCGGTTTAAAGAGAAATACTAATGGCCCGGGATGGCAACAGAAGTGAAGGACGCACTTAAGAGCTGTGCACTATGCCGTTGTAGTAAAACGGGGAGAGCCCAAAGACCACCGATGGGGAAGTAGAAAATCACCGAAAGGCCACTCCAGCGTCTGTGTATTCGCTTCATGTGACCGTAGCAAAGAACGAAAGACGGTAACACCAGCATCTTCGTCTGCCTAGACCATTTCTCAAAATTTATATTACTCAAACCAATAAGGAAGGCCAGTGCTGAAGGCGTCGTCAGATGTCGTCAGATGGAACAGGTTGTCTTCTATATATTCGGAGTAGTTGAAATGATACATTCTGATAATGGCAAGCAGTTTATTTCGGTAACCTCCCAAGAGTTCCTGCAGAAATATGATGTCCAGCATATTAAAACCGCTTTCTGTACTCCGCAAGCGAACGCTGTTGAACAAGTCAACAGGTCTACGAAAGACAATACGATCACACGTTGCAGAAAATCAGAAAACACTGCACGTTCATCTCACCGACGTTGTCTTTTCTTTAAAAAGGGCCGTACATAGCGCCATAGGTTATGAGACATTTCTATGCGTTGTTTGGGCTGAACATGATGCAGCATGGGTATTCGTACAAGATAGCTCAAAAACTAGAAGTCGTCAGAAATAATGATGCCAATATTAGAATCATGCTCGAAAAATTTCAACTTGTGAGAGATGTTATCACTAAAAAAGACTGAAGCAGACGACAAAGAGTTGTTTTCCGTTTGAGACCCTTCCATGTGCCATCGAATCTTAGTAAGGCCCAGCTAGTTTAGTCGGTAGGGCTTGAGATGCTTAATTTCAGGGCATGGGTCGAACCCACACGTTTGCCTTTAATTGTCAATGTGCTGTCGCTTAGTCGGTCTTCGTACTATTTGACGTACACATTCCATATCGCTAGCGATATCGTTGGGTCTGAGCTATGACGTTCGCGTACATTTGAGGAGTAGGAGTTCCGTCGATCTGCTTTGACCACTGCTCTATCCCAACAGAATATGTGTAATTAAGATAACGGCCTACCGTTATCGAGTCTGTTCATAACTCTCTCTCTTTCTCTCTCTCTCTCTCTCTCTA